CATCCATACCTCAAAATCACATGTAGGCTCGACGGGTTGCCTCTCAAACTTTTTCATACACGCCCAGTAGCGGCGTCCACCTTCTTCCCACCAATTGTACAAACTGCATTTTTCTCCGCAATAACACCTTGGGACATAAAAGGGGTTGTTGAGACATTTCTTAAAGAGAAACTTTGGTTTTATGGAAATATTTACTATTGGTTATTGTTAAGCACAGAAAATAACTAGAATGCGCCCGTTATTTATAGGCAAAATTTCACATAAAACGTAGTATTATACCACGCTTTACATATTAAATTTCTCTGAAACGAAACTGCTTTTTTCCATGGTTTTCAACTTTTTCAGAACGACAAGATAACTCAATAAAATGCAGTACAATACCACGTTTTATGTATTTGAATTATTGTTATGTCAGTTATCCGCAGAACACTTATTGGTGGGCCCAAAAATCAGAGTAAAACGCATTATAATAATACGTTTCAGTGTAAGACGCAGTATAATATTGCATTTTACACTAAAAATTAATTCTCTGCAGTCCTGCAGAAGTGGGCCCAAATATTATAGGGAAATGCAGTACAATATTGCGTTTAAGTTAAACACAGTATTGTACTGCATTTTCCTAAAAAAATTAAGTTTTTAATAAATCCGTTAAAGTAAAACGCAGTATTATATTGCATTTTATATATTTATGTAACTTTTTTTTCAACAGTAGAAACATATTTTGTGCCAATTTTGGCACTATTTAAGTTTCGGACTCTAAAATATGACGTAAAAAGACTGATGTGAACTTTTGGTATGAACCTATACTGTGCTATAAGATTATGATAATACATGATCGCGATGTATATGGAATCTGGAACTATTTTGTATACAATTCCAAAGCCAATTAGTTAATTTGAAGTCTTGTTAGAAGTCTTGGTAAGATAGTGTGCACTTGCGTGTGCTTAGATTATTATGTTGAAAAAGTCTAATAAGTATGTCCAGTTATAATTGTATATCAACGATATCACATCACTACCGAGTCCGAAACCTAAATGGCAACTTTTTGAACTCAAAATACATTTTTTACAGTTTTAAAAAAAAAGTTACTTTTCTACCTAAAGCGCGATATTATATTGCGTTTTACTTTAATGAAATTTTAGCCGTTAAAATAAAATATAGTATAATACCACATTTTACATATAATGCAGTATTATACTGCATTTTGTTTTGCCCAACATCCTAGGCCACAAAAACAGTATTCTTGGGTAAAGGTTTGGTGATAGTTTCGAGAATCATAAAGAAATTATATACTCACTCTCTTCCAATTTATGTGAACCTGTTTGACTGAGCACGACATTTAATAAAAAATAAGACTTTTGAAATTTGTGGTCCTAAACAACTCAAAAAGGGGTCCACAGTATTTATTTGGTTATAAAAGCTTCTCACTAAGGATAGAATTGGGAATTTAAGCTAAATTATTTCCAAATTTTGAAAGAGGTCATTCTTTGGGAACGGACCAAAAAAAATTAAGTTCACACAAACCGGAACGGAGGGAGTAAAATAACAAAAACTAAACGGTAAAAATCTATTAAAAATTCAGAAAATTGATTTCTTGAAATTGATGCCCTTTTAGTCAGTAGAGTCAGGTCTTCTCTCATAAAATACTTGTACTACATATAATATACATTACTCTAAAGCTGCAAAAATACAGTTTGAATTAGTGTTATTAAAATAATGTAAACTTTTTTTTAAAAAACTACAAGAAAAAATTATAAGGAGTCGTTTGGTAGGATATATAAGGAAAAATAATGTGTGTGCGTTATTTTATACCACAAATTAAAATGTATTTAATGGGCACAGAATTTAAGGAAAAAAATAATTTTAAATTTGTGGTATGAAATAACGCACACATATATTATTTTTCCTTATATATCCTACCAAACGACCCCTTATAATTTTTTCTTATAGTTTTTTTTTTTAAAAAATTACATTATTTTAATAACACTAATTCAAACTGTATTTTTGCAGCTTTAGAGTAACTAGTCTTAGGGTACGCGTTTTGCGCGTGAGCCGTAACTCGATGGATACACAATTTTAAAAAATCACATAAATATTATTAAACAATATATTTGAGTTACAGAATACAAATTAAAGAAAAAATATAAGTTCTTGAGAATGATGAATATTGTTCCTATTTAGCTAGATCAATAGAAGAATAAATTTTACCATGTAGAAATCCTCTGATGCCTCTTTTGTATTTTGAAATACCAAATATTAGGAAAATAATTAGATGACTATTCATAAATATTAGAAAAATAATTAAATAACTATTTTATCTAGTGCGAACTCTATTTTTAAAGGGTAAAAAGCACGAACAATATTTCACTAAAGCCAACCTCATATCGATAATTAAATATATAATTTTTAAAATTATGTAAAATATTATTAAATAATTTTTTTGACTTATAAAGTAAAAACTAAAAAAAATTATAATAATTATGAAAATAACAAACGCTAATCTCATTTAGCTAATTTAATTTTAAAAAATTCTGGCCACAAAAATCCTCAGACCTTATTGTGACTTATATCGGAATATCTTATGAAAATTATTATTTTTTTGACTTAATACATAAAAAATAACATAAAATTTTTATCAAGATTTTTCAAACAACACAAATAAATAATTTGAATCTTTTAAACTTATGGAAATTAAAAAGTTGGCCTTATAGCTCTTAAAAATTTGATAAGCAACAGTACAAAGTCTAGAAATGACTATAAAATGACTAACCTTAATATTTTATAATAAATAATTAAATATATAAATGATATGTATGAAATTATCATTTGTTCGAATAACTGAAAAAAGGAATAATGGTAGTTCGTTTAGAATGGTGTTTGTCCAAAAGTTATGTTTTCGTTCTTTGGTTATTGAAGCAAATTTCAACCTATGCTAAACCTTAAGTTGTCTTTACCTTAAAAAAGGAAATATTTTGTTTTGATTCTTAGTGTTTATAGTATAGGTGAGTCGTAACTGTAGACAATAAATTTGCATCGAGAAAATAAAATCAAGACCGAAAAATATCGCAACAATCGTAGTATTTTATTTCAAATATTTGAGTGTTACAATCTCTATGATTCCTCTGATTCTATTTTTCTAGTATAAATTCAAGGGCCTTTGAGCTTGATCTTGAATTGTGATTTGATTTATCCGTCACGAACACTTTGATTGTTGCCACAAATTTTATCACAAACAAGTAGCCTTGATCTTGAACGCCTTGTATTTGATTTGACTTCGTTCTTGATCTTGAATACTTGAATTGTTCTTCGTTCTTGAGCTTGAACTTGATTGCTTGAAGCTTGAAACTTGTAGAGAAATTTGCGGCGTTTGATCCACGAGCTCTCTCTTGCTTCTTGTTATAACTTCTGGTGTCTTTTTTGAGTTATGAAGACCCCTATTTATAGTTGTGAAAGGGAAGAGTTATGATAAGAACAAACTCTTTCCGACCAATCAAATTGAAGTGTGACATGACTGTATTTGATTGGTCAGAACATGTCACTTGCACACGTGGCGCGATTTCATTGGCCTTTTAGCGTGACTGGACATGCCTTGTCATTTTGACACGTGGCATGATCCTATTGGCTCTTCCGCTTGACTTGGCGCGCCACGTCATTTGACACGTGGCACCAAACTGGGACTCTAGGAGATGACATTTTGGGCTTAATGAAGTGGGTTCATCACTTTAGCCCAATTAAATGGGCTAGCCCAATGGATTAAGACTTATTTATTTAATCCATATATATTGGACTTATATAACTAATTCAATTATATTAGCCCAATAATATTTATTTGGACTAGCATATTAAAATATAGTCCATATTATTTTATCGATTTAAATTCGATAAAATTTTAATGCTTACAGTAACTACTAAATATTAGGACTAATTAATTACATAAAATTTTAAATAAAGAAAGATTTTGATATGCAATTTTTTTTATTGATTTCAAAGTCCTAAAATTTAGGAAAATAATAAAATAACTATTTTGTCTAATGTATAATTAATTTTTTAAAGAATAACAAAGGCGAACGATATTTTGTTGAGGACTTTCGTGCTATTAATATAGTATAGATGTATATTATATGTAGTACAAGTATTTTATGAGAGAAGACCTGACTCTACTGACTAAAAGGGCATCAATTTCAAGAAATCAATTTTCTGAATTTTTAATAGATTTTTACCGTTTAGTTTTTTTATTTTATATAATTTCTTTATGATTCTCGAGACTATCACCAAACCTTTACCCAAGAATACTGTTTATGTGGCCTAGGATGTTAGGGCAACACAAAACGCAGTATAATACTGTTATATGTAAAACGTGTTATTATATTGCGTTTTATTTTAACGTCTAAAATTTCGTTAAAGTAAAATATAGTATAATACTACGTTTTAGATAGAAAATTAATTTTGTTTTTTAAACTGTACAAATATATTTTGAATCAGAAAAAATTGTCATTTAGGTTTCGGACTCCTCTCTAGCGTGGGAACAAAAAGATACACGTTAACTGAGGAACTGTGCGCTTTATCCTGCTCTTGAAAAGGTCACAAATTTAAATTTAATTAGACATTTCTTCTCTGACTGTAGAGCCCGTTATGAGTAAAGTTAATTGTGAATAGCGAAGGCTGTGCTTGGGGCCATCAACAGTGGCCTAATTATCTTTAGTAACACAGTGGTGTTCAAACTTGCTAAAAGAATTGAATAATAATGATCTATGACATATATTTAGTATTTAATAATGGGAATCCATTAATTCTCTAACGAGAAGCAACTAAAATAGACTCATTCAACCTAGACCAAGACAAAGTTATAGTGATGTCTTACTGAACATGTTCAATCTAGCTAGAGTGCTAGACCAAACCAACTTATTCAAATGGCGTAACAACGCCTACGTATTTTTTTATGTATAAAATAAATTTGATTTTCTCAGGGCCAAAGTATAACTGTATAAGCCTTTAATGGATAAATTAAAGTCCCGCATATATAATAGTTTTGAAATTTCGTACATTATGAACAATGGATTTCACACAATTTTATTCAACAGTTACACATCCCAAGAATACAAAATCACCCCCTTCCGCAAAGATAAAAGGAATCTTATAATCCCCATTTATTTGAACAACTTATCATTTTGAGGATTGAATAGTAATTCCGTGATAGAACTGTTATTTTACATCTTACCGTGTAAGGTTCAATCCTCATGATCCCCTTTATTCAAGTCTCTCTGCCTTGTGAAAGGAAAATAAAAAAGAAGAATTAACTTAATTAGCCGTTGACCAAACGACAAAAAGAATATATATTTTTTACTCTCAATTAAATCTGCCGCAGTCGAAACGAATATTTCCATTCCTCCCAGTTTTCACACCAACGCGGCCCAGCTTTGTCATTGCACTGACGAATGCGTTTTGGAATGCTTTTGAGTTACTAGCCCAAATGTCCACGGTTCCCTTGGATCGCCCGTCCGTATAAAGCACTTGATCAGATGTGAATAGGCCCATACCTTGCTGTAAATTTTTGAAGTAGGCATTGTCAAAGGTCCTTGGAGTTTTGGGATCCATGTTAATGGCTATCCTTGGGTCAACATTTCTTGGACACATCCCTTGTAATTGAGCTGCATATTGCTTGTTGAGTGTTGGGTCTACTGGACTCTTAGGGCTGAAGTTGTAAATCCGCTTGGCAAACTTGCTACAGTGTGAAAACCCAACAGAATGAGCCGCTGCAAGTGAAATGTATAAGTATGAGGTCAACAAGAGCAAACATCATATGAAGTTGCATATAAAATTATTATCCTATTATAATGGGAACTTTTCTTTCTTTTTATCTACTGAGCTGGCTGAAGAATAATGAACCTAATCAGTTCAGAAATGATTAAGTCTGACGTCAATGACACATGCTAAAAAGCAACAAGGACAGAATTGAAGTTTCAAAGAAGCTTACATTAATTAGTAAATCTAACAATTAATTATAAAGGTGTGCAGTTAATAGTAATATCAGGGAAGAAATATATAGCAGAATTACGTACCAGAAAGGGCGATCATGTCGCTCTGGTTTAGACCATGAGAAGCAAACATGGAATTGAGTTGGTTCAAATTAAATGTTGGTTTTGGCAGCTTTCCTTCCACGTTTGAAGCTTTTGATGTGAACCCATCTAGCCTTCCTAATTCTACTGGGTACCATGGCCCCCCCGACTACGAGCGTTTTACAAATATGATCTGTTTTAGTAATTTTTATATTATGAGGTCATTTAAAAAATAACTATAGGTAATTGTGCATACACACCAGCTGAATGACGTCTCTAGTGGCTAAGGCGAGAATATCTGCACAAGAGACTTTATTTTTACAACGTGAGTTTGAATCAACGGCGGCTTTGGCTTTGATCACAGTATCAAATCCATCTCCTGCCAATGATAGATTATCTGGGTGATCCTTCTCAGCTGTGTTCCCTGGTGTTGACGATACTATCACTGAAGCATCACAACCCTGTTTCAGAAAGAAAAGAAAAAAAAAACACATAAGTTAGCCAACTAGGAATTGAAATTAAGGTCCTTTAATTTATTTATATTAAAGTTACAAAAATATTGAAATTAATTAATGGGAGAGAATATATTTACCTCAACAAAGCAATCATGAAAGAAGAGACGGAGAACAGCAGGGATTGTGACAAATGTTTGTTGGAATTTCTGGTTAACCACATTTCTAACAATGGATTCGACATTAGGACAGGTTTTGGCGTAATAATTGGTCTTCAGTTGTGCAAAAGCCAAGTTGGGCATGAACACTACACCAACTGAATATATTGATAACACTACTGCTATAAGAAGATTTAGACGACCCATTTCTTTGGCTTTAGAATTGAACCTCAATTATGTTGGAGAAACTAAAGGGGAAAATGGGTTTTTGCAAATGTATAATTGAAAGGAAAGCATTATATAGGGGGCATGAGGGCCAAAGAATCTTCCTTACTTAACAAAGGGCGTTGAACATGAATTTTTTTTTAAAAAAAATCGTATTTTTTGAAAGAGACAGGATATGCTGGCACGTTTTATTATCTACTATATATTGGCCGCCATGAGATAGGCTATATAATTTTTTGTAAATTTATATTTGTCAAACTACTTTCACAGCAAGTCTCCTCGTCGTCTAATCAAGTTATGACCTGACGATGAATAATCCGCAACGTAAACGAAATACTATACCTAGAGATGATTAATGCAGAAGATAGAATAATTAAAAGAGACTGTAGTGAATGGAAAAGTTAAAGGCTGCTAGTTACATATATAGAGACAGCTGGAAATTAGGACAAGAAATTAAAGTTGTGTGCAGTGTGCATTTCCAAACAAATCTCTGTGGGCTGCTAATCTTCAAATCAGCCCTACAAAAGAAGATAAGGGGCAATGATGTGTGCATGGCTTATTACTGATCCGATGGAAGTCATAATCTTTATAAATTTGAATTATCGGCAAAAAAATTAGCAGTTCTAAAGGAGTAGAACCGACAAGTGATTAATGTTGCTATCACAAGAAAGGATTCTGAAAACCTTATGGAAACTAAAAAATAAAATAAAATGTTACGAAGTTAATTGCAAATTTCCTAGAAAATATGTAGTATGAGCTGTTAGATCGAGCTGATCGATTTTCGCTTTGTGATTGTTATAATGGAAAAAAGAAAAAAAGGTAACCATACTGCAAAACAAGTAAAAGATTCCAATATTGATTCTTTATCATGTGGTTTGCAAGGTTTCGCATATGGCAGGCATGCACACCAACCACAATTTAAAAATAAAAATAAAAAGATGCCTTTAGGACTTTGTCTAGAAAGATCCCAGTGTACTGATTTAACATGCATATACTCGTAGAAAATTTGTTTTGTGGCTTACACCTATAATAAATTGCTCGCAAATATGGCCAGATGTTAAGTCAATAGTACCTAACCTCAGATTTGAAAACTATATTTTTCCTAATTTACGATAGATGCTAGTTTTGTTCAATTATGAACTAAAGTAGTCGTCCTTCAGGAATCATGACAGACATGCATGATTGCAACATCACGTGGACACCTATACGTTATCCGTGGTCAAATATTCAAATCTGCATATCTTTGTTAAGCAGTATATTTGTAGTTAAACACCAAATAAATGATACACATAATCTTTATTAGTGTATCACTTCATCATATAGGATTAGAACTGAACCAAATTGCCCCATATAGAAGTCTAACAGAATATAAAACCTTTACTAACTTCGTTTCAAAGTAGGACTATTTAAAGCCTATCATATTTAAAGGATGGAAAATCAATTTATGCATTTCAAAAAAAATATTTTGATAAGGACATCATCTCATACACCATTTGACAAGGGAAAAGCGTAACAAAGGATTACAAGTGGTATATCATATTAGAAGCTTTCTCGGCATAAAAGTGGCCTTGTTTCTTTTTTCTTGTTTCTTCTTGTAGAGAGGGATGTTGTCAAATTATTTTGATTTTATTAAGTAAGGTATAGACAAGAAGGATGTAAAATAACTGTGTTCTGTTTTTAGACTAGTTTGGTGGAAAGTTCTTGTCATAGGCATAAGTTAATTTCTCACTTGGTACAAAAAGAGTCGTTCTCATTTACTTGTCCTTTTCCCAAGCGTTAGATATACCATTATTGTAGAATAAGGTATTTATTGAAACTTCTCTTCTAATTTCTTTAAATTTCTATCTGTCTTACAAATTCTTCCTATCTTTTATTTTGTTTTCTTTCCTTTTCTGGTGACACGTTGCATTCATTAATTTATCCAAGTTTTGTATGCTAATCCACTTCATGTGCTTAAACAGTTTGTAGGTCGCGCGTTCTTGATTCTCTAAAATTAGGATTTGAGAATGGGCTTCCACAAAAGAAAAAAGTAAAAATAGTACGGTATAGCCAGTTTTCGGACTGGTTATTCAAAAATAGCCAGCGTTTACCAAGTTAATGAAAAATAGTCACTATTTTGCTGCAACAGAAATCAGTCCAGCATAATATACTGGAGTTCGGTGCACTGTGTATGAACTCCAGCATATTATGCTGGACCGGTATACTTTGCTGGCTCCCGTATAATATACTAGAGACTGGAGCATCGGTGCTTCAAACTCCAGTATATTATGTTGTACCGGTATACTTGCTGGAACTCCAATATATTATGCTGGAGTTCTAGTGTACTTATGTTGGAACTCCATCATATTATGTTAGACACGTTGCATTCATTAATTTTTCAAGTTTTGTATGCTAATCCACTTCATGTGCTTAAACAGTTTGTAGGTCGTGCGTTCTTGATTCTCTAAAATTAGGATTTGAGAATGGGCTTCCACAAAAGAAAAAGTAAAAATAGTACGGTATAGCCAGTTTTCGGACTAGTCATTCAAAAATAGCCAGCGTTTACCAAATTAATGAAAAATAGCCACTATTTTGCTGCAACAGAGATCGGTCCAGCATAATATACTGGAGTTCGGTGCACATGTGTATGAACTCCAACATATTATGCTGGACCGGTATACTTTGCTGGCTCCAGTATAATATACTGGAGACTGGAGCACCGGTGCTCCAGTCTCCAGTATATTATACTGGAGCCAGCAAAGTATACCGGTCCAGCATAATATGTTGGAGTTCATACACATGTGCACCGAACTCCAGTATATTATGCTAGAGTTCTAGTGTACTTATGTTGGAACTCCATCATATTATGTTGGAGTTCCAACATACTTATCCTGGAACTCCAGTATAATATGCTGGAGTTCAAGTATACTTCTGCTGGAACTCCAGCATAACATATTGGCGTATTTTCTGGGTTTTGAACAGTGTTTTCGCTCAGATTTATCTTTACATGAAAAGTAGCTAAATTTCGATTACTTTTGAAATTGGGCTATTTTTGAACGACCAGTTGTAAATCTGGCTATTCTTGAATTTCTCCCAAAGAAAAAGGATCTTTATACAAATAGCGTACAATATTTATTATTTATTTTTCTAGTTATATACATAGTTTATATATTGATTATACACAATTATACATATAATACATAAATTATATATATATATATATATA